CCATAGAGACACATTGGGACCCATAGAGACACATTGGGACCCATAGACTCCCCCCCCTCCCTGTCCCATTGCTCCTCCCCTCACTGCACAGCCGTTCCTTCGCACATTGCTGCACAACTTCCTATGCTGCATTTCTGGCCGTTTCCCCTCATCCTGTCTCCACTCACCACTGAAAACAGCCTGGCCTCACCATTCTGCTCCCCACACCTCAGATATTATAGACCTGGATCAGCTCCCCTCTCAGTCTTCTTTTCTCAAGGCTGAACAGACCCAGTTCACTCAGCCTTTCTTCATAGGAGAGATTCCTTCGTCCCGTTTCTATCTTGGCTGTTGCTGGAGTTGGATGAAAGGAATTTCATGTCTAAGAACCCCCCACAACCCGTCCCGTGCAGAGCTGTGCCCTCAGCTTGCATCGAATGCTTTCCTTCCCTTGGATGCTTGGGGGTCCGGGCTCTGAGGAGGGGCACCGGGGGGGTCGGGGGGCTCAGCTCCTTCCAGCTGCTCCCTCTCCTTGCAGAACGACTCCTGGGGGAAGCAATACTCGCACGCTCTGTTCAAGGCCATGAGCCACATGCTGTGCATCGGCTACGGCCAGCAGGCGCCCGAGGGGATGACCGACGTCTGGCTGACGATGCTGAGCATGATTGTGGGCGCCACCTGCTACGCCATGTTCATCGGCCACGCCACCGCCCTCATCCAGTCGCTGGATTCGTCCCGCCGTCAATACCAGGAGAAGGTCAGCAAGGGGGGGGGGGCCGGGCGGGGCCCCCATCGTCGGGGGGCTCGTTTGGTCACGACGGGGTCAGGAAGGCAAAGTGCAGCTTGCCCGTCCTTGGCGTGCGCTCAGGAATTGGGGAGGGCGGCGGGATGGACGACGTCGAGTTCGGGGGCAGCGTTGATCTACAGAGGGATCTGGGCAGATTGGATCGATGGGCCGAGGTGACCTGGATGAGTTTCAATAGGGCCGAGTGCGGGGTGCTGCGTTTGGGTCACAGCAACCCCAGGCAACCCTACGGGCTTGGGGAGGAGCGGCTGAAAGCTGCCGGATGGACAGGGAGCTCGGTGCGCTGATGGCAGCGGGCTGAAGGCGAGCCTGCAGTGTGCGCAGGGGGCCGAGAAACCAACGGCGTCCTGGCTGGGATCAGGAGCGGCGAGGGGAGCAGGGAGGTCGTCCTGCCCTGCGCTCAGCGCTTGTGAGGCCTCAGCTCCAGCGCTGGGTTCAGGTTGGGCACCTCGGCGCGGAACGGCCGTGGAGGGGCTGCAGCAGGGCCAGAGGAGGGCAGCGAGGCTGGGGAAGGGCTTGGAGAAGGTGGGCCGTGAGGAGAGAGCGAAGGAACGGGGCTGTTTGGTGCGGGGCAGAGGAGGCTGAGGAGACCTTGCTGCTCTCTGCCAGCGGCTGAAGGCGCCTACGGCACGGCGGGGCTGCGCTCTTCTCCCCGGTGACGGGACGAGGGAAACGGCCTCCATGGCCGGGGGAGGTTTGGGTTGGGCGTCGGGAAGGAGAAGTGCTGTACAGAAAGGGTGGCGAAGCGCCGGAATAATGGGCTGCATGGGGAGGTGGTGGAGGCGCCACGGCCGGGGTGTTTGCGGAGCGTTTGGATGCGGTGCTCAGGGCCGGGGTTGAGCAGAGGGCTGGGAGGCAGGGGAGGACGGTCAGCTGCGTGCCGGACCCGATGGTTTTAAGGCCTTTTCCAACCTGGGGGATTCTACGAGTCTATGGGCTCCCAGTTGGGTTGGGATGAACCATGGGTGGTGCTGGAGCTCACCCAGTGTAGGGGTGAAGTCCTGCCCTCCATCCTGGGGCTGAGCTTTGGGGTGGGAGCTGTGGGGTGGGCATCTCCAGAGCCCCATCACGGCGCCCTCATCCCAACGTGCTCCATGCTGTCCCCGCAGTACAAGCAGGTGGAGCAGTACATGTCCTTCCACAAGCTGCCCGGGGACACCCGCCAACGCATCCACGAGTATTACGAGCATCGCTACCAAGGCAAGATGTTCGATGAGGAGAACATCCTGGGGGAGCTCAGCGAGCCGCTCAAAGAGGTGCAGGATTGGCCCTTGGTGGAGAAGGAGGGCTGTGGGGTCGGTGCTGGGCCGGGCTGCTCCACACTGAGCTGCTCCTCGCCTTACAGGAGATCATCAACTTCAACTGCCGCAACCTGGTGGCCAACATGCCGCTGTTTGCCAACGCTGACCCCAACTTTGTCACCGCCATGCTAACCAAGCTGCGCTTCGAGGTCTTCCAGCCTGGAGATTTCATCATCCGTGAGGGCACCGTGGGCAAAAAGATGTACTTCATCCAGCACGGGGTGGTCAGCATCCTCACCAAGGGCAACAAGGAGACCAAGCTGTCCGACGGCTCCTACTTTGGGGGTGAGGGGATGACAGAATCACAGATGGTTTGGGTTGGGAGCTCGGGGATGGCGAAGCTGCGACCCCACAGCGCCTGCAAAGCCACCGACCTGCCCACGTCTCACAGCAGCCCAGGCTGCCCAGGGCCCCATCCAGCCTGGCCTCCAAGCCCTCCAGGGATGGACGGGGCATCGCAGCCTCTCTGGGCAGCTGTTCAGCCCCTCACCGCTCTCCCAGCACACAACTTCCCTGAGCCCCAGCCTCCAGCTGCCCTCCCTCCGCTTCCAGCCCTTCCCTGCTCTCATCTCCCCTGCCCAAGAGCTGCCTCCCCTCCTGGCTGCAGGCTCCCTGCAGGCGCTGCAGGCTGCACTCAGCTCAGCCCCAGCTCCTCTTCTCCATGCTGAACGAGCCCAGCTCCCTCAGCCTGGCTTTGCAGGGAGCTGCTGCAGCCCCTGCTCAGCCCTGCGGCTCCTCTGGCTCCTCTGCATCAATACGGGATGTGGGAGCAGAGGGAAATGGGAGGCATTCTAACGCTGTGGCTGTGTCTATCCGAGCTCCTGGCGCTGCTCTCTGTCTCCATGCAGCAACGGGGGGCTGCCGGGCCGGTGCTGAGCCCCTCGTCCCCCCTCACCCCCACATCTCTCTCTGCAGAGATCTGCCTGCTGACGCGGGGCAGGCGGACGGCCAGCGTGCGAGCCGACACGTATTGCCGCCTCTATTCCTTGTCTGTGGACAACTTCAACGAGGTGCTGGAGGAATACCCCATGATGCGCAGAGCCTTCGAGACCGTGGCCATGGACCGCCTGGACCGCATAGGTGAGGAGCTGCCCCAAACCCCTCCGTCTGCTCCAGAGGGGTCCAGAGACGAGGAGGGGGGCTGGAGCCCAACTGCAGGGATCTGCTTTGCTGCCAGGTGGGATCTGGGCTGTGCTGGGCAGTGCTGGGCTGTGCTGGGCTGTGCTGGCAGTGCTGGGCAGTGCTGGGCTGTGCTGGGCTGTGCTGGGCTGTG